AGGAAGACTTCTAGATTCAAAATTCAAACGACATGAAAGAATGCTATATCATTAACAGCGTTTATGAGGGCAATAAGTGGAATCGACCCAAAATTAACTAGCTGTATGAAGAAGAAAACGTTGAATGTGAACATGCCGTAAATGGTAACATGATGGACTCTGCAGTTACATCACTAGAAACAGAATAATAAACCAGCAAGGAATCCTCGGAAGCATTGTGAGGCCAACTCTATACAAATGCTTCAGTAAACCTGTGAGGCTATCCTTAGGTAATTTTAGAATGTAGTCATCTATTTACATGCATAATTTCCATCGAGAGAATTACATTTAAATTGTCAGATATTATGAAATTGAATTAAGTGAGTTACATTCTTTGAGAAGACTGATATTATCATGACAGAACGACTGTTAATACAAATATTGTTGCGGTGTTACAATGACAGCAACAAAACTGGAGGCGATTGGAGACAGACCGACAGCCATAAATATTTGGCATTCCGTTATGGAATTTAGGGACGTCGAAAATTAGGACAACCAGAGCGTCGGTGGAGATATGAAGACCATCTTGAGATTTGTAAGAAAAGGTCTTAAAGACCTCTTAAATGTACACGCTGATAAATGTGTTGTTTTTGATGATGATGATGATGATGATGATGGTAATGATAATCGACGAGTTAAATTCTGGAAAAGTGTAGACGCAATTTATGAAGACAGGATCGTCGAAATGACGTAGTAGTAGTAGTAGTAGCAGCAGCAGTAGCAGCAGCAGTAGTAGTAGTAGTAGCAGCAGCAGTAGCAGTAGTAGTAGTAGCAGCAGTAGTAGTAGTAGTGGTAGTGGTGGTGGTGGTAGTAGTAGTAGTAGTAATAGTGGTAGTAGTAGTAGTAGTAGTAGTAGTAGTAGTAGGAGGAGGAGGAGGAGGAGGAGGAGAGAAGAAGTGTGACGATTAATATTTTAATCGCAATGAATTACCGAGTTGTACTTAACTACAAGTAATTAGGAGACTTTGACGGTGCCTTGAAGATGCTTCGAAGGACATTTGGCTCACTGTACGTGAATGGATTCCGGCGTGTATGATATAACAATAAATTATATCAACTATTTTCTGATTCTGACAGCCTCTCTGTGGTCTAGTTGTCAGAGTTCCTGGGTACAGATACATAATCTCCGTGTTCGATTCCCGGAGCTACCAGTTTTTCTTAGAAGTAATAGGTCTGGAACGGGATCCACTCAGCCTCGTTAGGACAATTGAGGAACTATTTCAAGGAAATAGAGACTTCGTTCTAGAGAACCGAAATTAACGGCTGTGGGGATCCGTTATGCTGACCACGCGACACCCTCTATCCGTTAAAGTTGGCACTAACTTCGCCGACAAGCGGCGGTCTCTCGGTCGGTATAGTTCGCTTGTGGACTATAGGCCACAAAGTCTTTGTTTTTTATTTTCTCAATCTGATATTTTGAAACTATAAACATTGGCAGATTACGACGGGCAGGCAATGTTTTCCGAATGTTGGACGATAATCCTGTTAAAAAGCTCAACTTCGTAAAAGCCAGATGGATGAAGAAGAGTTGGAAGACCAAAACTGAGATGGATGGGTGGAATAGAGGATGATAATCTTAGGATGCTTACTGTGACAGGAGGGAGACGAGAGGCGTTGGACGGAAGGAAATGAAGAAATGTCTGTAAGTGGCCAGGACCTAAACTGGCAGTTGGAATTACCAAGTTACTAGATCGAACACAAGGATAGGTTATCACCATCTATCTCACCCTTGTTTCCTCTCTTTCTTCTCTATTTGTCACCATTTTATTCTTTTTCCTTCCTTTTTGTAATTTTTACCTAACTAATTTTTACCTAATTCTCCTTCGTCTTAGAACGTAACTCTTATTACTGAAAGCTGAAATTCATTCATGGTAGCATTCTGTGACCACGTGTAATAATTCTGTGTTTTCTGAAGGGGTCTTAGTAGACAGCTGGAGGATAGCAAATGTCAACTTACAGGAGAAAGGCAGGGAAGTGTGTTTCTTTAATAGTTGAAAGGCACATATGACTGACGACAAGAAACCTAAATCATGTGAAATATGAATTTATGTCACTAATGGACCTGCAGTAGAAACATTACGGGAACAATCTGTTTGAATTTCAAGTAATATACCTACTTAAACTGAATAAATTTTAAAGGTTTTTGACTTTGGTGTGACACATTGTCTAAAATTATTATTCTGATGTCCAATTTTCTTGCCCTTTGAAAGCACTATGTTTCTGAAATTTGTTATTTTTTTTTCTTTAGATAAATATGATTATAAAGGAAGCCTGCTTCATTGGACACCTAGCTTGATTTATTCTCAAACCTCCGTTTGATTAATACACGTCTTACGACATTGATGTGTATGATTCAGTTAGTGGAAACATGGGCACACAAAACGTTCACATACCACATAGCTACTAATATTGGAATATTGATAAAAATATTATATTTAATGGATTGAAACTGGATTATATGAGATCAACATCGAATCTAAACGTGACGCCATGATGTTGAAACACATGAAGACAAAGACTGTCAGATTTATCAAAATAATTTATTAATCAACATTGGTGAATGGAGGTTTAAATCCACTGCCGCTTTAGCCCCGCGGATAGTGTTCCCGGAACCACTTTGATAACTGGCGAGTTCTAAAAAAAGGTCTGGAATTGTTCGTGAACAGAAATATTTTACCGTTTAAAATATCTGAATCTCCATCCTGCCAGTAAGCAGTCAGTATACTCACTGGGTTACTGTAATTCTTATTGAAACACGTTTAAGATATTTTAATATCAATAATTACTATATATAGATTCTGATCAGCTTATGCGGATAATATGCTGTAAGTTACTATATACTGGAGTCTTATTCGAAAAGTCTGACGAATGTGCGTCAGTATAAGCACTTGAATGGTCTAAAGTAAATGAGACGCATGAAGCCAGATGAGGAGATGTCATTTACAGTCAGATTGTCAAATTACATGTCAATTGTCATTCGTTAGTTAACTAGTTAACTAGTTAACTAACTTACGTCATGGTACTGGACCTCATAAGTTAGTAGTTAACCAGCTGGTGAAGAAATTATCTAAATTTAAGGAACTGGAACATTCAACACTGTGTTTACAGAAAAGCCTGATGTTAGATCTATTCTGAACCAGTCGTATCCAGTCCACACAATCGTACCTTATGTTTCTAAAGCCATGTTAATTCCACTTTTCCGTTTAATTCCCTTATAGCAAGTGATCGCCGAACACAGTGGCCGTGCGGTCTAAGGCACGAAATGTTTCCGCTCTCTCTAACACTGGGGTCGTGGATTCGAATCCCACTCAAGGCATTATTATCTGTTTGAGTTTATTCTGTGTTTGCGACGGGCTGATTCCCCTTTCAAGCATTAAGAAATTGAAGAGAAAAGAACGTTTCATGAATGTCCTATTCTCCAAGCTGGAGCAACAGAAGAAAATACCGAGTGATTTCTTCATGTTTCTCAGCAGGTGTAAAAAGCTCTTCTTACTTTTCTGCAAGAGCGTTACATGTCTCGCTCATCGTGTTCTACTTGGCTTACTCATCTGGAGAGTGTCAAGAGAAGAGATGTAATTATGAAATTTCCCATTACGAAATTTTGTTCTGTTTTTAGTTACTTCCTACAAGGACCGCGCCATAGCTCAAGCGGTTAGTCGCTGGCTTCCCATCGCGGCGGCCCGGGTTCGATCTCGGATCTGGTCAAATGGAATTTTGGTGGACAAAGCGGCGCTGGGGCGGGTTTTCTCCCAGTACTTCGGTTTCCCCTGCCAATTTTTATTGCACCAATTGCTCCAAAATCACCCTCACCTATCATCTGGGGCTGGTACAATAGGCCAGAAGTGGCCGCAGTACAAGGAACTTAGTCCCACCCCACTACCAGTAAAAATACTTCATACAAATACTATATCTTTCAAGTTAGTAGAAGTATTTAGCGGTTTTGTACGAATACTTTCGAAACGGCAGATATATGTTTAATTATTGCGCTATGAGCAACGATTAAGTAGATTAAAGAGGAATACGTATTTTCACTTCATGAAATTTGTTGTAACTCCTCACATAATATAGGAATAACTCAATTGATACTTGTGTTATCTGCAGGGATTTATACAGTGAAATTGTAACGTGTATAGCCAGGCAACTTCATTTTTGTCGCGCGTACCACCCCTACACCTGACAATATTACTTTTATGTTCATTTTTCGTTATTAACTACATCACAATCCATAAACTATATATGAGACCGTATCATATATTCGGTTCACTCGTCCTGAAGGTGACAATTGCAATATGCACCGAAACGTTAGAACAACTTCAGCTCGGGAGGTAACTGAACTTCTAAAGCTAGAATTAAACATGTAGCATTAAAACACACTGTCTGTTATAGAAGTGTCATCCTGTACTACGAAGTTAAAATCCATTCCTTGCAGAATCCCAAAGGATTAGATGTTTTTATTTTCAAAGCTGTTCCTCCTATCATAGGACTGATGTGTACTTCTAGCCAAAATGACATTATAAAGTACGTATTATTATATATTCATGAGTCAAATAAAACATTTGTGTCATTTCGTTACGTCTATGCTACACTGTTTTTTAGCAATGAATTTATTCAGATTTCTTTGTTTACGTTTTTTCTCTGATTTTCTTTGTTTACGTTTTTTCTCTGATTTTCTTTGTTCTAAAGAAATTCACCAAAATAAACTGTGCATATAGTTATCTACAGTCTTGTTACATTCATTCTCGTTTATCTCATAAATTTTTAAATTCTCATCAGAGAAAATTTCCAGAAGCCATAACAAGTAAGAAAACCAGTCTTGTATTCAGGGAAAACAAATATGTCTAAGTATACTATTTTTGACTAAATGCCTATCCTTGCTTTCCGTCTCTCCTCATGCAGAATAAACCACATTCATCTCACGATGAACACGTGCTTATATGTGATCTAGGTTCCGTTCCTAACAGGTTGTGTTTTACCTCACGTACTTCTGCTGTGAAGTTGCTCCTACTCCGGCCGAAACATCGACTGGCTCTTGGCGGGCGTCGCCATACTTGCTCTCGGCGCTGCCTCCTCGCTCACTAGGGGCGGAGCCTTCCTCCCGGAGCCGACTCCGACTCAGCGTCAACCGGCGTCGCGGCGATCCCCCACCTCGTGGCCGCCACACGTGGTTCTTCGGAATCGGACGAATAGCGCTCCTGAAATTAAGGTGACGATTATAAAAACTATAACTAACGAAATAGTTAACGAGCTGCCTGACCAACAAAATAACTATCTAATATATTCGCTAAAATCAAGTGAAAGTTGTAATTACATAACGTGATAATAAACGAATGAAATAACTAGCTGACTAGGTAATCAACAAATTAAGTCACTCATAAATCTGAGTTTCTAATTAAACGTCTTTTTTTCCCCTTGGCACTATAGCCCCAGTGGGCCTAGGCCTACCTCCATGAACTTCTCCGTTCACTTCGGTTTTTCTAGATCTTACACATTCGGTAGGACTCCTTGGGCGGGTGATCAGCTCGTCGCAAGGCCTCTACCTGTACACAAACAAAGAAAAACGCACACACACGAACTAAACATCCATGCCCTGAGTGGGATTCGAACCCACGATCCCGCTTTCCAAGGGAGCGAAGACAGTACATGCCTTAGAGCGCTCAGCTACCGTGACCGGCAATTAAACGTCTAGTTTACTATTTATGTAACTCACCAGCTAACAGAACAAATATAAATTTTTTAAGTTAAGCAATTTCTTAATGATAAGTAAGTAAACTAGTGTATTTATATGATAAGAAATAAATTAATTGGCTAATAAACTAGATAATTGGATATCTAACTAAATATCTGATTAAGTACCAGAATGACCAACTGAAAAGATAACAGCTATGAAGATGAATAACGAAATAGCTAGTTGTCGATATAAGCAAGCTGAAGAATTAATTAATAACTGACTAAATTCCAAAAATTATCCTTTAACTATTACTGTGATGTACATGAATTCGTTAAAATATTTATAAATTATTATAATTAGCCAATTTACAGGAATGGTTTAAAAAACTTTTTGTTAAAATCTAGGACCAATTTGGTTCGTGTTATTTACACGTCTTCTCTTTACGAAAATGGTCGCTCCTATCGAAACATGTAAAGGATGAAAGATTACAAACACAAGATTTATCAATCACACTGGACGGCGTTAAAAACCTTTTATGCTATTGCTTGTGAGACGGACCGGGATGAACCAAGTCAAATTCATCTTTAATAATATTGACTCTATATGCTGAGACGGTTTGGTTCATAGTTAGTGTGTGTTATTACATACTTGCTTAATTTATTTTTCTTCTGTGGCGTCAAAGTAAAATACTTGTTTACCTATCGTCACTGTGTAGCGGTTAGAATCCCATCTTTGGATCTCGAAGTTCATGGATGAGATGCCAAAGCTTGTGTACAGTTATCCTAGTTGTCAGATTTCCTTGTGTCAAGTTCTGTAATAAAATTTTAATATAGGCAACAGCGGCACTTTCTTCCTCATTTCAAATTAATATTTATTTAAGCATCCTGTTTCACTCTACACGATAAATGACACAAACTCCGTCCCAAGTGCAAACAATATATATTATATGTCTTTGATCTTGCTCTCTTCTACACTACATGTTTCGGCCTCTAACGGCCATCATCAGGTGTATACTCTTACGTTGCTGCCACACTGCACTCAGTCTAAAATTTAACATTTAGAGGCCGAAACATGTAGTGTAGAAGAGAACAAGATCAAAGACATATAATATATATTGTATGCACTTCGGACGGAGTTTGTATCATTTATTCAAATTAATTGTTGTTATTCTTACTGCTCTTTGACCTATTGGCCTATAACATCTGCATTTGAGAAAGTTTCATTAAATAAATAAAAAACAAATTTTACTACCAATGATATAGAAGCAGAGAACAGTTTCCTTCTTTTTGCTCGGTTCATGTGTTTCAAAGCTATATCTGTAAAAAATAGAAAATAAGTGCTAATTCCGCCAAAAATATATTTTTATACACGAAAATATAAACCAGGAATGGCAAGATAAAGATATTGAATGCTGAGAGGATTTCCCCAAAACACGATTATAAAATATGGTGCCAACTTTTGCTGATAGAGGGTGTCGCGTGGTCAGGGCAACGGATCCCCAAGGGCGTTAATTTCGGTTTTCTAGACCGGAGCATTTATTTCCTTGAAATGGCTCCTCAATTATCCTCACGAGGCTGAGTGGACCATATTCCAGAACCACTACTTCTCAGAAAATCTAATAGCGCCGGGAATCGAACCCTGTATCTGTAGCCAGGAACTCTGACCACTAGACCACAGACTGTAGTAAAATAGTTTGGTGTAACAGAAGTTGCATATCGTCCCAGTACCTAGCACCACATATAATTTCAACTATTTATATTAAATAATCCGTTTGTAGTTCACAACTTGCAGATTTTCGTGGCTGTCATATCAGTATCACTTCTAATGAGAAGCTAAAAGGTAAAACGTGATCTCCAATGGCACAATATTCTTTATCAATTATAATGAAATATGTCGATTTATTCCAAAAACATTGGGTGCTATATATTAATTTACATCTTAATGCACTCTTCGTTCTAAATTTAAAATATCTGTCCCTTGGCTCAGAAATTATTAGATGGGAAATATGGTTTTATATGTCAAGACAAAAATAATAAAAAGAAGATTTAAATAATTTTAGTCTTGTTGTGCGTACTACTATTAGTAGGAATTATAGTTTTGTTAATGTGAAATAGATTTTTATGTATTGGTTCCTAAATACAGTTTCCTACGAGTTGTCACATCATGCTCTAATCATTGACTCTGCTTTTATTAGCTACGGCGAAGGCATGCATTCAGGCGCATACATAATGATATATAATGATAAAACAAGCCTGTATTTTGTTTTAAATATAGAAGGTATAAAGGAGATCAAGTCTAATCGCAAAGGCTTGTACTTGCATTAATGTTTTTTTCAAAGAATTGTTGTTAGATATAAGATTCTCACAACCACGACTATGAAGAATGCTTTTTCCTGTGGTGTGACGTGGTGTATTATGGTAGAAGTTTACGGGCGCTTCGAAGGTATATATTGCCTCCATCTTCAGGATAGAAGATAAAGTGAGGAAAGCAACCAGGATGTAGCAAGCAGCAAACAAATTCTGTTTCTTTCTTTCTTTCTTTCTTCTTGCCGACAGCCATCTTGTTTTATTTTTCTTGTTGCTTAATTATTGTTGGTTAATTGTTTGGCATAGCCTTCTACCCTGAAGATGGAAGCAGTATACTCCTTCAGTACGTTGATGAACTTTAACTAAACAACAGGGCGTCACGTACCAGAAGAAAACACTCTTTTTTTAAAATGAAGATTTCTTTTTTCAGTTAATTCGTTGTTTGGTCTATGTCTTGCACGACTTTCCGTAATCTACAAGAACTGTACCGAAATTACTCGAGAGGCTTCACATCTTTTGCAATTACTGTAATATCCTTCCTGCCTTCCATTCCTTTTGGGAATAGCAATATGGCTACTTGCACGAAATTATAAACGAAACACTTCAAATTAATTAAACATTATTGTGGTCTACAGAGTTCCCCCTTGCAAAATTTTGACAGTAACCTTGCTTCTGGGAGAAAATTCTTATTTCTGTGTGAAATGGGCTGACACAAGATGTGACGTGTGCTACGCTTAGACCGTGGCCCCAGGGCGAACGCGTCAGTTTGAAGACATGGTCGACCAGCCGGGCTTTCTATCTGCCTTGAGGCTCTTTGACATGGACAAGAAACGGAAAGCGTGACACAGAAGCTAGAACGCTTTTTTATATACTCTTTGTCAAAACTACTTAGTAAAGAATTGGGTGTGAAAAATAAGGTTCTGTCTACCTGGTTTCTCGACGCTGGGAGCTATGAAACAGGTAGATTCAACACAGACCACTGAAAAGATAAACGGCATATGAAACAATTTTAAAGTTACGCAGAGTAAGTAGTCGAAGTTTAGCTCGGCCCGCTACGTGTGTATACTAGTTCTGTACTTTCTGTATGAAGCAAGACCATTAAATTCTTTTAATTATATTGCTATTATTGAGAACCGGCCTTAATACAGGCCTGCAATTTTTGTAATATATATTATATTCCTGTCAACACCACACTGTTTCCTACAGGTGGGGTTTGCTGCCTGCGATGAAATGTTTGGGCACGTGTGTACAACATTCAATTCAGTTTTTGATTACAATTTTTATATCATGTAAAGAAAAATGTAAAGCTATCCCTGTTACAGGCCGTAGAGGTCCATAAATTTGTGAGACGTCGAAGCTCCCACATTTTCTAGATAATCGGCTTACAGATGCCCGTGAAGTTGTCAGCCTTATGCGCTGGCCGCCCTTTACACCTAAGGAAGATTCCTGGTACTCATTTCTGTTAGAGTCTAATTCGACCCTAGGGCCATAGTGCAGCTAGAAGGATTAGGACAATTGAAAAGAAAAGTGACCTCATCGGGATTCGAAACTGCGGCCTTAAGGCTTGTAGCATAGTGCCTGAACCAACTACGCTACCGTGTGCCACACTTCTATCATGTACTTGGCCTAACTTTTGGGTCAGTGTTGCCTTACTTATCGAGAAGGCCGCGCCATAGCTCAAGCGCTTAGTCGCTGGCTTCCCACCACGGCGGCCCGGGTTCGATCTCGGATCTGTTCAAGTGGGATTTGTGATGGACAAAGTGGCGCTGGGGAGGGTTTTCTCGAGTACTTCGGTTTCCCCTGCCAATCTTCATTCCACCAATTGCTCCATCACCCTCACCTATCATCTGGGGCTGGTACAATAGGCCAGAAGTGGCCGCAGTACAAGGGACTTAGTCCCACCCCACTACCAATGAAAAAAATACTTATCGAGACGTGAATTCTGTTTAGATTTACTCAACAAGTGCCACGTTATATTTCACATATAGCCAAAGTCGCAACACTTTTTCTACTATTTGGCTCTAAATGCGACACGTTCACTATTTACATTTTTCTGCTAGTACTAGGCTGTTATTTGTGTTTAAGCTGTTAAAACATGCCTTAAATTGAATCTGGAGTGGACTCTAGTTAAATTTCTCGTATGCAGTTTTAGCTCTAGCAAAATATGTATATTGGCGAAACTCAAAATTTCTGTTCACTCAGCATCATGAATTCTATTATATTTTATCCGAGTCCGGCTTTATTAAATTTCTTCCAGAACCATACAAGAATTTTGCTAATCCTTATCTGTAACGTGAGGCTAGCAACAGATTTTGTCACGTGTNAGCGAAACTCAAAATTTCTGTTCACTCAGCATCAGGAATTCTATTATATTTTATTTTATCCGAGTCCGGCTTTATTAAATTTCTTCCAGAGCCATACAAGAATTTTGCCAATCCTTATCTGTAACGTGAGGCTAGCAACAGATTTTGTCACGTGTTTCAGGGAAAGTTACTTGCAGTTCTGGTGGTTGTTCCATTCATGCACTGAAGTCAGACTAGTGGTTAGGAGCGCTGGGTGGTCATGCAAGATATCAATGCTACTCGTTGTTTCACATATGGAGGAAGGACCCTAAGGGAAGCGGCTTGAGAAGAAACCTGCTAAGCCATCATCACAGAATAGTACAATTAAAATGTTCCTGCTTACTTAGAGCGCAGGTAATTTTTATAAGCTTTCCACCGGCCTAACAACGGCAAATTGTTGAGTATAAAATGGTTTGACACTGGGAAAAAAAACATAACAGAAATTGTAGATATCATCTCAAATAAATAACCTTAATGGATCAGATTTGTCGGTGGTTTCATCGACATATTTAATATATACCGACAGACCGGAGCCGCTATTTACATGAAATTCAATTATCCTCACGNATATTTTTAACGTTTGACAATATATATAATAGATACATATTTTAGTTATTTTAATATGAGAACAAGGCATGCAATGAACTAGTTTGGCGTGGATAAGTAAGCACCTGAAAATGGCATTATTATGCCGAAACATGTAGTGCGAGGGAGAGAAGGAGATAAATGAGTGTATGCACTACAAGACGGTTTAAATAAATCATGGACAGAATATTAAAATTAAAATGTTCCTGCTTACTTAGAGCGCAGGTAATTTTTATAAGCTTTCCACCGGCCTAACAACGGCAAATTGTTGAGTATAAAATGGTTTGACACTGGGAAAAAAAACATAACAGAAATTGTAGATATCATCTCAAATAAATAACCTTAATGGATCAGATTTGTCGGTGGTTTCATCGACATATTTAATATATACCGACAGACCGGAGCCGCTATTTACATGAAATTCAATTATCCTCACGAGGCTAAGTGGACCCCGTTCCCGACCCACTACTTCTCAGAAAATCTGGTAGCACCGGAAATCGAACCCGGGTATCTGAATATATAACCAGAAAATCTGACCGCTAGACCATAGAGGCGGTCATCGATGGTATGTAACACTTAGGATTACTCGGTTTTTGGACTTTGTCCGTCTTACAGTATTCCAGACAGAACACAGCGTCTCGGAAACTTTGTTTCTATCCGTCTGTAGGAGAAAAGATTAGGAGACATCTACTCAAGGAAGTCCATAAGAATCTCAACCATTGACGAAAAACTAAGATTTGCTCTTCCGGACGGAGCCATCTTTTATTCTGATGACGGAAACCTCCGATTTCCAAAACGCTATGTTCTATTCGGGATTAAAGCGATGGGCAGAGTCCGGAAAACTAAATAATCCTAAGTCCTTAGCTTCTCTTCGTCGCATTAATCTGGCTAAGAGCACATTGCACAAACCTGTTTTTCGTGAAAAGAACAACACCATGTGTAATAGGCAGCCGACTCTGCAGCAAGCACGTTTTCATTTAATCACGATTGTTTTTGACAGAGTTGTCTGAGCGTATTTAATACACTATCTCCGAATTATGGATTAATGACTCTTTTGTGATTATGTGACCCGTGTAACCATTGCTAGGCAACGGCTCGGCACACACATAACCGTAACGCACGCACACGCGACAATAGTTCATTCATTGCTAGGTAATGGACCAGTAAACACATTTCCTTAACAATGCAGGACGTGTTTTCTGTGGGTTCCGTACCGAAGAGTTATAACAGGACAAAGGAGGTCGCTAGGAATAGTAGAAACAAAGTAGTAACCGAGTAGAGAGCAGTCGTCAAAAGTAGTCCTGTCGAGTATACGGAATTGGGAGCTGCAAAATAATGACAAAAAAGGAATTAGACTGTGACCAGAATATTTCACTTGTGATTTGAAGTTACAGTGAGACTGTGATAAATCCGTTACCAGGATACGACTAGTGAAGACTGAGAATCCTAGTGCGTGTGCACCGGTGAACTGTAAAGTGTGTAGAAAAGCGATAGCACTGTAATTGCCCGAATCCCGAGTTGTGTGAATGTATAAAGTTGAATAAATCAAATCATCCAATCCAAAATTAAGTCACCCCTATATGTGGCAAAACTATAGAGATGCTGCATCTTATTATATCACTAACATTTTATTAATGATCCGGTATCGAACCTGAGACCCTTAAAATATTATTTTTGCTTGTTACTCACTAAATAGCCCTTTCTATTTGCTCCTCTGTCATTTTTTGAGATCCTGTGTTAACCACATCCTACACCGAATCCACATTTGGGTGGAAAAGACGCCATAATATTGTGAGAGAAAAAAGGGGGAAAATGTATGATAATAGAGAAAGAAGATGGAAGCTGGAATTAGAGAAATGCTGAAATAAATACACACAACAATTAAGTAAGTAGGTAAGAAGGAGAAGAAGGAAACAAGGAGGTATGTGTGAAGGAAAGAAAACAAAAATGGAAACGGACATAGATCGAAGAAACGAATGAGTAAGGAAAGGGGAAAGGAAAAAATAAGGGAATAATTTTTTTTTACATATTAACCGTACTTATATCACGTTATCTATATTTTTAACAAAGCAGCACATCCAAAATTGTATGTGTTCCTCTTTGAGTTAATTAAAAGTCTGTTATTTTGAGTTGTCTGCAATTTTGATGGTCCACGATTAATTATGTGTGTCTGCCCGTCGTCCCGTGACAAGTAATGCTGGAGGCTATCATGAATCTTAATGACGCAACGTAAGGCATGAACCGTAGAGGAATGGGGTGCAGGAAAAGGTGGATAACAGTGATTAGACACCCGGAAATCTTTCCGCAGAGACTTCCTTCCCTCTCACACCCTTTCTACTCCACCCCAACCAACTTGCCCCGTATTGTAGCTGCACGAGGGAGACAACCATAGTAAAGCACTATGAATCCGCGTAGTTTAACTCAATCCAGCGGAGTATGCACTGTCTAGGTCTACTCTAAGAGAAAGTCTAAAAATACTTTACGCAAGGGGAATTCTTACTCATTTCGTTACTGTTAAAAATGCGCAAGGCGAGACGCGTTACTCGAATTCGTTTCAAGAAGATAGCAAGAGACGCCCTAGCAGATTTGTCTTCTCCCGAGAAGAACTTGCTCAGGAGAATCTGCTGATTAAAAAAAATTAAACGGCAGGAGAACGGGAAACATTTCTTAATAAAGAGGTTAATAACTTGTATAATAATGAAGAGCTTCATAAATTGTACTTTTCTCCAAGTATAAATAGAATGATCAAATCAAGGAGGATGAGGTTGGCAAGGCATGTAGCATGAATGAGGAGAAGAGTAATGCATATAGGATATTTGTAGGAAAGCCAGATGGAAAAAGACCACTGGGAAGACCAAGGCGTAGGTTGGTGGAAAAAATAAAATTGGTTTTAGATAGGATGAGATGGTATGGATTGGATTGAGCTGACTCGAGATAGGGACCGATGGAGGGCTCTTTTGAACACGGTAATGAACCTTCGGGATCCATAAACTGCTGAGAAATTCTTGAATAGCTGCAGATTTGGCTTCTCCTCAAAAAGGGCTAAGCTCCATAAGTAAGTAATAATTTGCATTCTTCATTTAACGTTATTTTATTCTTCTTCTTCTTCCACCTTCACGAATTGGGTTTTCTATCCCGTTCCCGTTCAGAATTACTTCTGAAAATACCCATCTTACAGACAGTCGGCAGGACAATTTGAATGGATTATCAGGACTTTCCAACGAGACTGCGCTTACAGAACAACACAAACACAGAAGAAAATCAGACATTCATGCCTCGATTGGATTCGAACTCACGAACCCAATGTTTGATAGGAAGAAGATATTTCTTGTCTTAGACCGTGCGGCCACTGTGATCGGGAAATAACATTATCAATACGCTTAGAGCTAATGAGTTCCTTGATTTTGCCCATCGTTCAGTATTCTAGAAAATAACGTTTCGGGAAAATGAATCTCTTTTCATCCTCAGGTGAAGAGGGAGACAGCTACTCTGTTGGGTGCCATAGAAAGAGTTAACCTCAGTCACTGTATCTGTTTTTTAGAATACCGGGCGATTTACAACGTCCAAAAACCAGTAATTTTGAGTGTTATACACCATCGATAGAACCTTCACTCACTCACTCATGGAGCTGAGCCGTTCTTGAAAAACCACCGATTGTGAAGCTACTCAAGAACTTCTCAGCATTTTGTGGAACCCGAAGGTTCAGTACCCTCCAATGGTCCCTATCGTGGGCAGATCAGTCCAATTGATACCATCCCATCCTATCTCTCTAAGATCCATTTTATTATTGTGCACCCACCTACGCCTTCATCTTCCTTCTGGCTTTCCCACCAATATCCTACATGCAGTCCTCGTCTCCCCCAATCGTGCTACATGACCTGCCCACCTCATCCTCCTTGACTTGATCATTCTAATTTTACTTGGAGAAGAGTAGAAGTTATGAAGCTCCTCATTGTGCAGTTTTCTTCAGCCTCCTGTCACTTCATTTCTCTTCGGTCGAGATATTCTCCTCAATAACCTGTTCTCAAAGATCCTCAGTCTATGTTCCTCCCTTAATGTCAGAGACCAAGTTTCACACCCATAGAGAACCACAGGCAAAATTATAGTTTTGTATATTCTAATTTTTATGTTTTTGGTCAGCAGACGAGAAGACAAAAGGTTCTGGACTGAATGGTAGTAAGCATTACCCGAATTGAATTTCCTGTTAATTTTATCAATAATTATATATAATTAAAATGTGTCAGTGAAAAATAAAAAGAACATATTTATTTTAAAGCTCCTTACTAAATGTAAATGTGTCAATGAACAATGTAAGTATGATTATGAACTGTGAGTTGTAAGCATGTGGAAAAAGACGGTCGTGGCCGATTTTAAAACGGTACCATAACATTTACTGAAGAAACTGTGGAATAAGTGCCTTCATTTAGGACACAGACAGAGCCTCACTACCGGGGTTTAAGAAGGAAAGCTCTAGAAAAACCGGGAATCTTAACAACTATATCACGAATTTTCTGTAATACTGAGGGTAGATGATTACACATGGCGATGTATTGGAGGGGGTGGGGTTATGAATTTAAATATTTCCCCTGCAATATCCGGGATAACATAATGGCTTTATTTTATTTTTATGGGGAAAGTTAGTCAAAAGAAATTTGTTGCGTTGGAATGAACATTTTTACGAACAGCATGATTTGTTTGTTTTATTCCCCCACGGCTCTTAGACTGACTGCTGGGTCTTGAAATGAATGTAATTCCTTCTCTTTATTTATATACTTTTACAC